TCATAAATTGCATTTTGGAGAGGGGTAAGGCCTGTGTTAAGGGAGACATGGGGGTAGAAGAGAGGGCAAGTGGAGGGTGGATCAGCCTGTGCCCATACTTGCAAACCAGCTTGGTGTTCCTGGCTGGACAGGCACTAATCCTGCCTTTTTTTTGGCTTTTTCCTTGCCATTTCAAAGGGCTTTTCAGAAAAATAAAAACGGAAGAGTGCTAAACTGTGTAGCTTGCAGAGTGAGCCAGTCCAACAGATGTATTTGCTTGTGTGAGGCATGGTACTGTGATAATTTTATAGCAACGTTGGTGTAGCTGTTCCTGGATCTCATCCAGTTGTGTTGGCACTAGTGTTCGTGAAGTGCGATGGGTCAGAGAGCTGCTCTGGCTGAAAACCAACCCAGGCAGAAAATGATTTTCAGCTAGTCGTAGCCTTGATCCGTCTCAGCGCATGAACAGGAGGAGGTAGTGGGAAGCACTGACTAGGAATCAGGAGAATCAAATCAGCCTCTAAAGCAGTAGTTTATCATAGTGATGGTTTAAAGCCACCGTAAAGCCGTCAGAAGTCTTTGTGTGCATCTTGTCTTTATGTTGGAAACAGATGTAAATAGGCATGTTGTCTTTTTCTGTCTTTCAATTATACCCCACACAGTAGGATCCCAGCTGAGTTGGGAATTTTGTTTGCTATTGCTGGGAGGAAGAGCATATTTTAATGAAACTGGTGGCATTAACAGCCTGTGATGTGAAAACTTGGAAAATCTCACCACGGGCTCCCCTCTCTTCGCTGATGGGCACCAGTGGGTGCCAGCGTTTCTTCCGTGCTGCTGTGGAACAGGCAGGCATGGTGCTGCTGGCATGCTTGAACTTCAGTTGTATCTTGTTGTTCTAACACCTTTGAGCGACTATTTTTTTGAAGAGGACATTGCCAAAACCTGCAATTGTGTTCCTGTTATTTGGAGAATAAATATTCAGACTTAAAGGAAGTGCATTAAGCTAATACTAGCTAAAATAAGATGGTGCCTTTGTTATTAAGGGTATTTTATTATATTAAAACTATGCCTTTAAGAAAGCTATTTGACGTCACTGTTACTCTT